TCTGGGACGAGATCTTAGAGTAGTGGTCCCCAAGCCACAGACTGGTATCAGTCGGTCATAGCCAGTTAGGAACCGGGCTCTACCTCCTGTCAGATAAGTGGCTGCTCACCCAGTATTTTATTTATCGCTTCTGTCTGTACCTTTTTATTTATTTATTATTTTATTATTATTTTTTGAGTTGGAGTCTCACTCTGTCACCCAACTGGAGTGCAGTGGCTGCTCCCGGCCACCGCAGCCTCGACCTGCTGGGCTCCAGTGATCCTTCCGCCTCAGCCTAGTAGCTGGAACTACAGGCGCGCGCTACCACGCCCGGCTAATTTTTGACTTATTGTAGAGATGAGGTCTCGCCAAGTTGCCCAGGCAGGTCTTGAACCCATGGGCTCAGACAGTCCACTCACCTCAGCCTCCCAAAGCACGAGATTACAGGCTGAGCTACCGAGCCCGGCTCTGTCTGTGCCTTTTTAAAAAATGAGGAGTTGTGTAATTCTCTCATTATATATTACAATGTGATAATAATAGAAATAAAGTCCACAACAAATGTTATATGCTTGAATCATTCTGAAACCATTCCCCTTTCCCTCCAACTCACCCCATCCCCTGTCCACTCCCGACTTCAGTGGAAAAATTGTCTTCCATGAAACCAGTCCCTGATGCCAAAAAGGCTGTCTTAGTGGAAATGGGATGTCATTGAAATATGTTGAGCTGGAAAGAAACCTATCAGATTTTTAATTGAGAACATTCCTTCTGACTCAACATGGGGAAAAATTAGTGGGTAAGGACAGGAAGGCAGGACAAGAAGCAGGGAGACTAGTTAGGAGGCTATCATTAAGGTGAGAGGTGAAGAGAATCTGGACCAGGAGTGACATGAGTTGGGGTAAGAAAAACCAATCTGCTCTCTAAGTCTGTCTTTTTTTTTCTTCTCATTTTTTTCTAAAGACGTGAGTAAAGCACAGTGACTAAGTATGACTTCAGGGCCAGATGGCCTGGGTTCAAATTCTGGCTCCAAGCCGGGCTCGGTGGCTCAGCCTGTAATCCCGCGCCTTTGGGAGGCTGAGGTGAGTGGATTGCCTGAGCCCGCGGGTTCGAGACCCGCCTGGGCAGCGAGACCTCATCTCTACAATAAATCAAAAAATTAGCTGGGCATGGTAGCACGCGCCTATAATTCCGGCTACTTGGAAGGCTGAGGCGGAAGGATTGCCAGAGCCCAGCAGGTCGAGGTTGCGGTGGCCGGGAGCGGCCACGGCACTCCAGTCTGGGTGACAGAGTGAGACTCCAACTCAAAAAAAAAAAAAAAATTCTGGCTCCGTTACTTACTAACCATGTGACTTTGGACAAAGTCTTTAATCTCTCGGTGCCCCAGTGTTCTTATCAGCAAAACAGGTATTAAAAAATTGTGAGGATTAAATGAATTAATATACATATAAAGGAGCTAGAATAGTGTCTGTCAAATGAAAGTCCTCTAAATTGTTAGCTATAGTTTTATCATCTTCACCATCATCCTAAGGAAAATGGTAGGGCAAAGGCAATGATAAATGGTCACATACTTGACCAGTTGGGAGCAATTAATGGGGGATAATAGGGAATGGTGAAGATTGTGGAAAACTGGATAGCATGAATCTCATCTAAGGGGGCCAAGCTCCAGCTGATTGTTGTCACTCAGGGTTGCAGGCCCACTGTTGCCACAAAGAGTAATTTTATCTTTATTATTTTTATTTTAAAGATGTGGGGTACAATTCAGGGTTAGGCATACAAGTGTTCATTAAGAGTAATTTAAAAAAATCAGAATTTTAATGCAAAAATCTCTTACTCTTAAAATTCACCCCTACTTTTTTTTTCCCCCCATAAAGCCTGTGTGCATTAAACAAAACATAAATGTCAGGATCTCCTCATGTGGCCCCCGTTTTCTATCTCAAAACTAAGACAAAAGCACTAGGTATAAAAAGGGTAGGGCTCAAGAGAGTTTAGGAGACAGCACTCAGTGGAGCAGGTCATGAGTGAGGTGCCCGGGGAAGGTGGCCACTGGGGAAAGAAAGGTCTGTGGTGTCTCAGAAGCCTGGAGAGACGGCTCCATCACCCCTGCCCCTGTTGCCAAGTCTCCTTCCTTTGCTCCTTCCTGCTGTGGGTGCTTGGGCTGACACTGGGAGAACCAGATACAAGTTCTAGGACTGAGACAGTGTCTCAAAGTGGGGGCATTTCTTGCTCTTTTTATTTAAGAGTGAAAAGATATGAAGAAATAGACATGGCCTTGATAAAACATCCTGGAAACGTTAACCGGGTCTCAATCCTTCTGTACTCAAAACTTTCCATTGATGTCCTGTTGCACTTGGAATAATTCTTTTTTTGTTGTTTTTTTGTTTTTTTGAGTTGGAGTCTCACTCTGTCACCCAGACTGGAGTGCAGTGGCCGCTCCCGGCCACCGCAGCCTCGATCTGCTGGGCTCCGGCGATCCTTCCGCCTCAGCCTTCCGAGTTGCTGCAGCTACAGGTGCGCGCTACCACGCCCGGCTAATTTTTTTGATTTATTGTAGAGATGAGGTCTCGCCAAGTTGCCCAGGCGGGTCTCAAACCCGTGGGGTCAGGCAATCCACTCACCTCAGCCTCCCAAAGGTGCGGGATTACAGGCTGAGCCATCGAGCCCGGCTTATCATAATTCTGACTGTGACGCGCTACAGAGACCCTGCATGCTCTGGGCCTTGCCTCCCTTCCCAGCGTCATGTCTTCTGTCTTAGCTCAAACACCAGGGCTTGACCACCCTGGCTAAATGAGCCCCGTGCCCAACCACCTGTATCTGTAGTCCAACATCCTGTTTTAGTCTCTTTTGAGCACACATTATCTGCAACTACCTTGGTATTTGTGGCTTTCTTATTTATCGTCTGTCTCTTCCTTCTAAAATATAAGCTTGGAAAGGGCAGGTACTGTAATACTGTAACTCAGTCCCAGGTACACAGTAGGTGCTCAATAAGCACGTGTTGAATGAAAGAAGGTTCAATAAATCTATAACAGTCACATATCTGCTGATGGCTTATTTTAGTTGCTTTCTGTTCAGAAAACAGTTTTGCGGGGCTTGGAACCTTTCTCTGTCCCTGTCACAGGCAGGGGAGGTGGGGACTTTTTCTCATTGGCCATCATTGCTCTGACTTTTGCACTTCTTTTTTTTGAGGTTGGAGTCTCACTTTGTCGCCCAGACCGCTCCCGGGCACGCAGCCTCGACCTCCTGGGCTCCGGCGATCCTTCCGCCTCAGCCTTCCAAGTAGCCGGAACTACAGGTGCGCGCTACCACGCCCGGCTGATTTTTTGATTTGTTGTAGAGATGAGTTCCCACCAAGTTGCCCAGGCGGGTCTCGAGCCCTCGGGATCAGGCAATCCACTCACCTTAGCCTCCCAAAGGCGCGGTATTACAGGCTGAGCCACTGAGCCTGGCTGACTTTTGCACTTCTGCTTCCTTCTGGGTTTCACCGCTAGGGCGCCACACAGATTCTTGATCTATTGTGACCTCCTTTCCAGTCTTGTTGAATCTACACCACACCCAATCCTTGTCAGCTCAGCCCAGCCTAGCTTTGGCTGCCACGGGCTTTCAAGGTGGTGTGACAGAACACCAGCCAAGCTGGCAGGCCTCAGCTTGGACACCACTGGGGGATACACAGCAGGCGGGGATGTAGCAGAAAGATGTCCCATGCATCAGAGTCTATAATTTCATGTCCCCATCTTTCCCTCTCTTCTGTCCACCTTCTCCATCTTTCTGTATGAATCCTTCTTTTTCTTTTCCTATCTCCTTTCAAGGCTGAAACTTCTGAGGATTAATTTTTTACATGACTCATGAAGTCCACTCACAATTCTATCTGGTTGAAGTCCATAGCCCCCCAACCCTAAATAGTATGCAAAATTGTGTGTATGCATGTGTTGGAATTTTTTTTCTTAAGTGAGAGCCCGTAGCTCTCAACAAATTTTCTAAAGGATTTGTGTCCCTCAAATTGTAAACCACTGAAAAGACTTACTCCAGGATAGAGATCACTGAGTGACACAACTTCCATATATAAAATGTTCGGAAAAGATAAATCTGTAGAGACAGAAAGTAGGTTTGTGGTTGCCTGGGGGCTCTGGGTGGGAAGGGCACGAGGTTTTCTTTTAGGTTGATGGAAATGTTCTAAAATTAGATTGTGGTGATGGTTACACAACTCTGTAAATTTACTAGAAATCATTGAGTTGTACATTTAAAAGAGCGGCCACTGCACTCCAGTCTGGGTGACAGAGTGAGACTCCAACTCAAAAAAACAAAACAAAATTACTGAATTTTATGATATATAAATTATACCTCAATAAAACTGCTAAAAAAGGTAGATACTGAATTTCAAAGACAGTGTAAAATTAATTTTTTTTTTTTTGAGTTGGAGTCTCACTCTGTCGCCTAGACTGGAGCTCAGTGGCTGCTCCCGTTCACTGCAACCTCGACCTGCTGGGCTCCGGTGATCCTTCCGCCTCAGCCTTCCAAGTAGCTGGAACTACAGGTGTGTGCTACCATGCCCGGCTAATTTTTTGATTTATTGTAGAGGTGAGGTCTCGCCAAGGTGCCCAGGTGGGTCTCGAACCTGCAGGCTCAGGCAATCCACTCACCTCAGCCTCCCAAAGCACAGGATTACAGGCTGAGCCACCGAGCCCAGCTGACAGTGTAAAATTTGAAAAGAATATAAATTATTTCATAATTTTTTTATATTGATTACATGTTGAAATGGTAATATTTTGTATACATTGGGATAAATCAAGAAATATTTTTAAAATTAAAAAAGGCCAACTGGTGACCATGGGCTGTCTCCCTAGGATAAGTGACTCAGAGTAATAGAGGATATTTCTGATCTCCACTGGGGGGAAAAATGGAAATTGAACAGGGCTAGGGACCCCTGTATCTGCTTAATTAAATGGGAGTAGAGATGGAACAGGAGAGCTTCTTGATGTCTGGCTTAAAGGCAAAGAGGGCAGATTGGTCAGATCTCAAGTAGGACTTACGGAAATGCAGAGGTTCTTCGTCTGACTTGGTTGAAGACGACTCATTTTCCTCGATGTCCTTACTGCCAGCCACTGGGGTGGCCACACTTGGGAGCTCATCTGAACCTGGGTTCACAGAGACCATGCTGCTCTGAGTGGATGACCCCGCACTGATCCGAGTCAGATTGCGTGTGGAGCCTCGCTGACTTGATTTGTGGCTGGTGGTTTGCATTACAGGGATTTTGAATTCCTTGGTCTAAAAGATGGTAAGGAAGAAAATGGAATTTCAGAAAGGAAGTAAAAAAAAAAAGGATAAAAGGAAGAAAGAAGGGAGGTAGGTAGGGAGGGAGGGAAAGAGGGAGGATGGAAGGAAGGAAGGAGAGAAGAAAGGAAGAGGAGAGGGAGGAGAGAGAAAAAACCTAGCTCTGACTATGAATTCTTTCTGGGTCTTTCCAAACATCATGAGACATATCCTGGATCTGGCGTGGCCTTTTGTCACAAAACGAGATGATTTTTAAAGTGTGTCTTATTTGAAGCAAATGTGACAGGACATTCTGTTGAATGAATTCATGATTGCCCAAGTAGTCACCGTAGGAAGCCAAATGTGTATTCCAACAATGATGCCAAGGCCCGAACGGTTTTTGACTTTTCTTTTGTAATAACTATTGGAGTTGATTTCTAAATGGTAGAAGAGAATGTATGTAATTTCTATAGCTATGTCTTGGTTTTGATGTCAAATTGCACATATCAACTCCTTATTCTCTTGGTTGACACTTGGGCCTCCAAGAATGAAGATTTATATTCACTAGGGTTTTTTAAAGAACAAAAAATGGAGAAAATTCTGGGCCTGACATTTAGGAGGCAGAATGAGGGGAAGCAGATTTGTCTCGTGGAGTGGCATTCTTGGGGAGGAGGAACCATGTTTGTGGTGGGCCAGAAGGCCTGGATGACAAGTTCTAGAAGGGATTAATGGGCAGGGGCAGGTAGGGAAAGTCCTGTGAGGGTAATGTGGACATTTGAAAGGAAAGGAATCAGAAAAAATTGGTTACAGAAGAGAGAGAGAGAGAGAGAGAGAGAGAGAGAGAGACAGACACTGTGTGTGTGTGTGTGTGTGTGTGTGTGTGTGTGTGTGTGTGTCCTCCTGCATGACTATGTTACTTCAGAATGTACTGTTTGGGGTTATATCCTCATTTAACTCATTATCTGGGTTTCAGAGTTACTCTCTAATTTGCCCAAGATTATACATCTAGCAAGTTGCAGAACCAGGATTCAAACTCAGGTCAGGCTAACGCCAAAGCATGCCTGGCTAAAAAATACTTTGAAAAGGGCTGGGTGCCGTGGCTCATGCCTGTAATCCTAGCACTTTGGGAGGCTGAAGTGAGAGGATTGCCTGAGGCCAGGGGTTCGAGACCAGCCTGGGCAACATGGCAAGACCTCATCTCTATAATAAATCAAAAAGTTAGCCAGGCATGGTAGTGCATGCCTGTAGTTCCAGCTACTTGGAAAGCTGAGGTGGAAGGATCACCTGAACCCAGCAGGTTGAGGTTGCGGTGACTTTGAGCATACCACTACACTCCAGCTTGAGTGACAGAGTGAGACTCTGACTCAAAACAAAAACAAAAACTTTAAAAAGCCTTTTTCAGTGACATCAAAAATGCCCATGATCCCTTGCTGATGATTTTTTTTAAACGGCATTTAAAATGCCAGCTTTGTGGGTTCTAGACCCACCTGGGCAACTTGGCGAGACCTCATCTCTACAATAAAAAAAACAAACAAAAAAAGCAGCCGGGCGTGGTAGCGCATGCCTGTAATTCCGGCTACTGGGAAGGCTGAGGAGGAAGGATCGCCGGAGCCCAGCAGTGGAGGCTGCAGTGGCCGGGAGCGGTCACTGCACTCCAGTCTGGGTGACAGAGTGAGACTCCAACTAAAAATAATAATAATAATAAAAAAAATTAAAAATAAAATGCCAGCTTTACAGTCAGAAAGAAAAGACCCTCAACTTCTCCAGAGAAACAGCTCAACACAGCCGAGGCTGTTGTTTATACTCAATTAATAGAAACAATTTTATTTGAGAATATTGAAAATGTAAGCTTTTGAGGAGCAAACCTATGTCTTCTTTAGATGAAACTCATGGTGTTTGATACCCTAGAAAGGGAGATAGGGAGAAAAGGCATTACAGAAGTCCACATCAATAATTTCAATATATGTTGAACAGGGTAGAGAACATTGTATTTTGGCAGGATTCATCTCAGGTAGTCCACCGTTTGTGATCAGAAGTAACTTTTTCATTGGCTACTGTGTGGGGCCCTGAATGTGGATGGAACTCTCCTGCACTAGAGTAGGGGAGGGATTTCTTGGTTGCACAAGGGATGGAGAAGATAGAGGTAGGCGGGGAGGAGGAGGTTTGGGGGCTTAAGACATGGTTCTCTCTGCCCTCTCCCCATTTCTCCCAAATCTTTCATGAAATTCTATACAAAAGATAGAATGCTTCAGAATGTGACAGAGTGAGGAACTGGAGTTTGAATTGGGTTTGATCAGATCTCTAAGGCAGCATGCAGGTTGCAAAATGACTGTGATAAAGAAAAAGTAAATACCAAAAGTTGGCATGTCCTTTCCTTTGATAAATTAGGAGCTTGTTACAGTGTTCCCTTGACATTGACAGTGCAACTGGTCAAGAGCTAGCCAGACATGTATTTTTTTTCCTGAGCTCTGACATGTCTCCCAGACTGACAGAAAGCCCCTCTACTCCCTGTCACCCTGGGAGACATGTCAAAGCTCAGGGAAAAAAAAATACATGTAGAAGTTGCTTCTTTCTTTCTTATCCAGCACAATATGAATTCCTGACTCTAGAAGCCAGTCTCTTTAGATCAATATATTTTTGAATACTGGGCAGATCATCTTACTATGGCAGCCTGGACTCTTGCAATGAGTCCTGGAGTCAGAGCCAAGGGACCTTAGGAGGACCTTGGGCAATTATCTCAATTTCCTCATTTATAAAATAAAGGGAATAAACTGGGATGATCTCAGAAGAACCTCCTGTATCCAGAGTTCTGTGAGTGTCTTCCTTGAGCTAGGATTTCATCTTATGCTCCTAAAGTTGACATTAATTAAAATTTAATTAAGTACCCTAGCCAGGAAATCCAAAGTGAAGGGCCAACACATCTGATTAATTGAAAGTGGCAGAAAAATAAAATGTAGGAGAAAGATGTGACAACCAGTCTCAGCATCTTGCTTGCCCTTTATTGAACTGACTCTCTCTGAATTGACTTAAATCCCTAAATGCTTCTTCTCTTTTTTTTGTATTTCACCCAGGAGTGGTGTTAACCAGTTACTGTGTTCCATCTCAGTAAGGACAGTTTTTTTGGCAACAGAGGACAAGATTTCTCTGAATGGTTCCTTACACTTTCTATGAAGCAGGGGTTGTTAACTGGTGGCCCACGGGGAGACATGTTTAGCTACCCAGGATTTTACAAATTGGGACATTTTAATATAGAAAACTATATTAAACCTTTTTGGTTTCTCTTGAAAATGATAAACCTCAGGTTTCTGTTGTCACATGGTAAAATGAGCTAGAGCTGAACAGAGATTCTTCCATTTAATTTTGTAGGAGTGCTTCAGTTTGCCACAGACCTCACCACTCCCCACTGTATAACACCCAGACTGATTTCTTTCATTAATAACACACCAATATTTAATATATATCAATATTAGCATATAATTTACATACATCTGGCCCTTATGAACACTGCCTTGGCACTGACAAGCTTTACACATTCAGAAAAATATCAGGGATTGGGCAGTTGCTCAGATTCTCTCTCTTTCAAAGTCCTCATTTTACAGGTAGAGAAACAGGTGAGGAGAGGGGAAAGGACTTGTTTAAGGTGACACAGTGAACTGAATCAGGTCGAGACAGATCTCCTGTGTCCTAATTTAGTGCTCTCCTGACTCCTGAGTGGACCATGCTACAGCCCAGGGTCTGACCCACAAACTTGTTGGGGAATTCAATTTTGGGAGAGCTCAAGTACAGCTATTCATCCTCTCCTTCTCCAATTTTAGTTGTGAATATTATTTAAGGACATTTTAAAAAAGGTTTGTTGTTCCTGCTGCTTTTTCTGTACATTTCTGGAGACAGATGCACACTATATCTCCATAGCAACTTTCTGCAATAAAACAAAGGCTCTTATTTCTCAAGTCTAAGAGCACCCTGATGAAAGAAAAAGAAAGTGGTGCAACTCTTCCTGCGGGACAATTAAAATCATGATCTAATGGAGAGCGGGCATTTGAAGGGCCCAGTGGTTAATAAACAGATCTAGAATGAACTCCTAACTTTGCCATTACCCAGCTGGGTAAGCTCATGCATGTTGCTTAACTTCTCAGTGCCTCAAATTTCTCCTCTCCCATCTGGAGATGAGAATTGTGCCCCCTGGGGTTATTCAGAGGGTGGACCTAAAAAATATACCTAAGGAGCTTCCTGAACACAGAACCTGACCCATTGCAATTATGTTGAAAACTGGCCTCTAAAAATCACACAACTATAATAATGCTAAGCATTTCCACATTTTCAAAGAGTTTGCCTAATATTTCTTGGGGGTTCTTTACTAAAGTTGTGAGGTAGACGAGGATGAGCATTAACCCATTTTGTGGGAAAGGGGACAGGTTCAGCAAACACTCTAGTTATGTGTGCTCTCAACTACCTTTACCTCTCTTAAAAACACCTATTGCTATTATTATTACTGTGGGGCTTCTTGGTTGTGTAGATGAATATAGGAGGTTCTGGGTTAGCAATATGTCTTGATGTCCTCTTAATAAACACATGTTCTAGTGTGTAGACATTCCTGTCTGTTACACCACTCACTTCTTTTATTTATTTATTTATTTATTTATTTATTTAACAGAGTCTTGCTCTGTTACCCAGGCTGAAGAGCAGTGGTATGATCACAGCTCACTGTAACCTTGACCTCCTGGGCTTGACCCTTCCCTCTCAGCCTTTCAAGTAGCTGGGACTGCAGGTGTGTGCCACATGCCTGCCTATTTTTTTTTGGAAAGATAGGTCTCTCTATGTTGCCCAGGCTGGTCTCAAACTCCTGGCCTCAAGTGATCCTCCCACCTCAGCCTCCCAAGTGCTGGGATTATAGGTGTGAGCTATACTGTGCCTAGCTCTTATTTTCTAACCGAGTTAAAGGAAGAGAAGACAAGACAAGAGAAGAGAGAGAGAGAAAGGAGAGAGAGAGAGGGCGGACTGTTATTGATTTAAAAGATAGAGTGAGGTGAGTCCATTTCCTTCTGGTGACATCTTATTAAGCAGCCGCTTAGCATCCCTCCTTCCTTCCTCATCAGCAGCATACAGCCAAATGTCATTTCTCCTATAATCCCCAGATAACCATTTTAATTAAAATATACAAAAACCATCTGACAGCATGTGACTCTGACTTCTCTTCACTGTGAGAACCAACCAGGAAAAAAAAGTCTCATCAAAGAAAAGACAGGAAAAACTGTTCTCGACACAAGTGGGGGCTGGAAGCCAAACAGTAGTCGCGTGTGGTTGGTTACCTTTGGCTCTGTGACGAAATGCTCCCACTTCTGCCCCATGAACTTGTCCTTACTGATTTTTTTAATCGTGCTCTTGCTTCCACCTGGGTCCCTGAGTGAGAAACAGCTTAATGAGTTTTTTGTTTCCAGAGTTTATTACAAGTTCTTTTAAAAAATGCATTAAATAGAGGAGAGATGGTGGCTGATTTCTGTTAGGATTCTCTCCCCCTCCTGTCCTTGTGAAGAAGAGGAGGAACAGTTCTCTAGCTGGCTCTTTCGAGTGAAAATGAGGTTAGGAGAGACCATCGCTCACTGGGCAGGGGGGCTGAAGGGGTGGCATCTATTTGCATGCTTTTTGTATCTATTTGCATTTTTGGACTTGGTCCTCTCAGACTCCTGGGCAGGTCTGTGGTTGCAACCGGAGGTGAATTGAAAAGAGTGTTCATTGCTGAAAGTCTGCTTTTTCTGTCAGGGACACTTTTGAGTGACACACAGAGAGTATTACCAGGTGGGGTTGGGGGGGTTGGGCCTGAGGGGTGGGTTGCACAATGAAAATCACTCATTTGAGGTTTATTGAGTAAAAGTTCTCTATGATGCAAAACCCTTTTGTGCCTTCTCATTGAATCATCTCAATATAACTTGTGATATAGCTGCTGTCATCCCATTTTACAGATAAGAAAACAAACTCAGGGCACTTAAGTCACTTACCCAGATGCAGATTTACACGCTAAAGCTTTAGGACCCCTCACTTATATGGGTCTGTCTTCCAGGGCCCTGTACTCAATTTTGTATTTTTTTTCCTTTTTTCTTTCTTTCCTTTTTTTTTGAGCCAGAGTCTCACTCTGTTGCCCAGGCTGGAGTTCAGTGGCACACTCACAGTCACCCCAGTGTCGACCTGCTGGGATCTGGTGATCCATCAGCCTCAGCTTTCCAAGTAGCTGGAACTACAGGCATGTGCTACCACACCTGGCTAATTTATTTTATTTATTGTAGAGACAAGGTCTTGCTAAATTGCCTGGGCTGGTTTCGAACCCGCCGGCTCAGGCAATCCCCTCACCTTGGCCTCCCAAAGTGCTGGATTACAGACTGAGTTATTGAACCCTGCTGTATTTTTTTCTTAAAGTGCCCCCCTACCTAGTTAAATGAGCTTCAGACCCTACAAAACCTGGATCCTCCCCTCATGGGTTAGGAACTTTCTGGATGAAGAATGAAGCCACAGCAGACTCTGCTGGTGACATACCCATAATCCCCTATCTGAAACCTGTGATGCCACATGTGTTGCCACATTCATAATTCTGGCATTTTGGAAAGGAAATATGCTGCATATACTATATGTTGGGGTCAGGGACTGATGGGGTCAGGGACAACATCCCATAATCAGACACATTAATATTTCTGCAATAAAACACATGGCTATTTATACTAGGTGGGCTAAAGAAAGACCATAAATAGCTTCAAGTCAAGTTTTGCCACCAAATCAGTTTGATTCATGTCAGATTTTGCTGCCAAATCAGTTTGGTTCATGTCAGATTTTGCTGCCAAATGAGTTATGAAAATGAGCTTTCAGAGCCTTTTGGATTTTGGACTTGTGGCTACGAAGCAGTGGGTTTCAATTTTTTTTTTTTTAGGTTGGGGTCTCATTCTGTCACCCAGACTGGAGAGCAGTGGCATTATCACAGCTCACCACAGCCTCAAACTCCTCGGCTCAGTTGATCCTTCCACTTCAGCCTCCTGAGTATCTGGGACTACAGGTGTGTGCCACCACGCCAGGCTAATTTCTGATTGTTTTGGTAGAGACAAGTTCTCCCTGTGTTGTCTAGGCTGGTCTTGGACTCCTGGGATCAAGCAATCCTCCTGTCTCGGCCTCCCAAAATGCTGAAATTACAGGCGTGAGCCACTGCACCCAGCCTGGATTTCTTTTGATAAGCCTTAATGTGTGTGAATGATTGACTGACTGGTCTATCATTCTTTCTGTCCACCCATCCAACCCTCCATTCATCCGTCCCTTTCTTTATCCCCTGTTTCTCTACAGAAAGAATTTTAGATGGCTAGGATCCTTTAATCTGGCGGGTTCTCACCTAGCATAGAGCAGGTACTTGAGGAAATGAGAAGATGAATTGACTTGTTTTGATAAGATGGGGAGAAACTGACAGGAGTCTAGGCTTGTTAGGGGCTGCTGAGTGGGGGTGGGGGTGGGGTGCTCAGATGTAGGAGGCAAAAGGTGATCAAGATAAACCTAACTTAAGGCTGACTTCTCATTGCATGGAGATCTGAGTAGCAGAATCAAAGGCCAAAGAAGGAGTTGGGGAGGGCGTCCTCTCTTACAAAGGGGTCCTTCCTGGACATCTACCAGCTAACTGCAACCACACAAGAAATGTGCAGAGACCCCAAGGTGGAAGTTGGGTTGGAGAGGGTGGGGTGAGCACGTGTCTCCAAGCTTTTTGTAAGACTTTATGTTTGATTACACAATAAAAAGCCCTCTGAATAATTAACAGTGAAGCTCATTTAAGTTGGTTCTGCCTGCCTCTCCCTCGAGTAATCAAATTAGGGGATATTTAAAATCCAGCCAGAGGAAGAAGGAGCAATACTCCAGGACTATAAACAATATTTAAACTAGCGACGTTTTTGAAGTCTGATTTAAGGCTTACCCATTGGAAGCTTTCGAGGTTTCGCTTTGTGGGGTTTCTTTCAAGACCACAGGGCTTTACCGCTTGCTTTTCCCTTTGCTAAGGCAGCCCCTGCTGAGTCTCCAGCCTTCTTCTTGAAGTTCAAAAGCAGCCCCTTTTCCCCTTTTAAAATTAAATCTGGTCCCAGCCAAGGTTTCAAAATCTTAAATATGCAGGCCCAATCAGGAAGATGGAAGTTTTCCACTAATGCTGACTTCCAAGACGACCCGAAATCTATTGCGACTACAAGCGGCAGGCTAAATGAGTAAAAAATGCAGCAAGGTTCCCACAGACTTTAAAAAGCTTGGAGCCCTTGCGCTTGCAAGGCCATTGAGAAAGAAAAGGCCTGGTTGGACAGAATCGGTCTTTCTGATGTTTCATTTTCAGTAGCAAATAAACTAAAAGGGAAGATCAATAGGGGCAGGAAAAAAAATACAAATAAAAATAAAACCACCTGTGTTTCATGGTCCACTGTGTGTGGAGAAGGGCAGAGACGTTCCCTCCCCATGGCTTGGTGGGGTGAGCATTAGTGCTGTTCAACAAATAGTCCCCGTTCCTCCCTATTCCCTGAAGGCAGTTGTAGCACTGTAACTTGCATTGTTCAAAAATACATGAGTGAAAGTGACATGTGGAACTCTGGGAAGATGCTTTCAGAGCCAGTCCTCAAGTCATCAGATTCCCTTTTCTGCCTTATGGTTGGTAGAAGCTTGTGCTGAGATGGAGTTTCTACCAGCTTGCGCCCCTGTAACAAACCTGTAACAAACAGATTCCCCTGCTGGACATGTAGGGTTGAGCAGGAGATGAGCCTCTGTTGCCTGAAGCCGCTAAGATTTTGGGGTTGTTCATTATGGTAGCTTAACTTGGCTCACCTAATTGACGCTCCCAATTTACTGTCTGTGTGGCCTCGGGCAAGTCTCTGAGTACCAGAACAAGAAAAGTGTTATCTTAGTGGTTAAAAGTGAATGTAAGAATTGGGCGGATCTCCTGCTCGAGTCCTCTGTCTGCCCTGCTGCTTCCTACATGTGTGACTTTGGGTAAGTTACTTAGCTTCTCTGAGCCTCAGTGTCCTCATCTGTCAAATGGAGGAATGATAGTAGCTATGCCAAAGGTTGCTGTGAAGATGAAAAGGAACGGGGCTTGTTAAGGGCTTCGTAGATGCCTTGCATGGAGAACAGACTACAGTTCAGCTGTTAACAACAATAACCTGCTGCTTTTTCAGCAGAGATTTTAGAGTGACTCAAAAGAGACGCTGATGGTGGGGAACGAGGTACCAGAGTAGGTCCATGGGGGAAAAGTAGCTATAATTTTCATAATTTCCCCCTGCTGAATTTTTGTGGGGGTCCTTGCCAGAAATCAAGGGAAGAGGGCATGGAGCACTGTCGAATCACTTTTAACTGTGTCTGCCAAGCACATTTTGTTCTGGGCAGACACTTGAAGATGTCTATCCCTAGTGACAATCAGGGGAATTTTCTCAAATGCCTCACTCTGACTTTCTGAACTTGCATTTGGGATAAAACATCTGCTTCTCAGGGTAGAAAGATTGTTGGTTGGTTTGGACCTGTTAATGTGCCCATGACTGAGGGGAAGAACAGCTGATTTTGCACCAGGGAGGGGGCAGAGGTCAAGGATCTGGGGCTTTCCCAGACTAGGTGGCCCCGTCCTGCCTCCTGAGTGATAATCTGATCATCCTGCCACGTCTTCCCACTCTGTAGAGATGCCCACTGGGCTGCCAGAGTGGAGGGGTGATGCCATTGAATCGGTGCAAAGAGAAGAGCAGGGAAATCAGAGGTTTCACTCAGATGGCACCTCTGGAGTCAGTCTTTCCTTGATGATCCATTGAAAACTCCCCTGCTCCCCTGCCGTCATTTCTTCGTGATACCTCATGCTGTCTCAGAGTCTCTTGATTATTACATGTTTGCTATCTGTTGCTTCCCCCAGAGAATGGAAGTTCCTGAGAGCAGGGATGTTGTCTGTTTTCTTCTCTGCAGTATCTCTAGTAGTGCCTGAGAAAAGCAGGTTTGAGGAAAATGAGATTTTCTTAGTTAGGTGTGTGTGGAGGGGGGAGGATACCACACGACGAGGGGAAGCTTTTTTTTTTTTTTTTTCTTTTTTTGAGTCCATATGTCCTTCTGTTGCCCAGGCTGGAGTGCAATGGCAGGATCACGGCTCACCAAAGCCTCAACCTCCTGGGTTTAGGTGATCCTTTCACCTCAGTCTCCTGAGTAGTTGGGACTACAGGTATGCACCACCATGCCCAGCTAATTTTTTTTTTTTTTTTTTTTTGAGAGACATGGTTCTGCTATGTTGCCCAGGCTGGTCTCAAACTCCTGGGCTCAAGCAATCCTCCTGCCTTGGCCTTCCAAAGTGCTGGGATTACAGGTGTAAACCACTGCACCTGGCCAAGGGAGACTAAATATAAACATTTAAATAAAAAATTGCTATTATG